AGAAAGAAAGAAAGAAAGAAAGAAAGAAAGAAAGAAAGAAAGAAAGAAAGAAAGAAAGAAAGAAAGGAAGAAAGAAAGAAAGAAAAAAAGAAAGGAAGAAAGAAAGAAGGAAAGAAAGAAAGAAAGAAAGAAAGAAAGAAAGAAAGAGGGAGGGAGGGAGGAAAAAAGGAAGGAAGAGGGAAACAAGAATAGAGAAAAGAGAGAAAGAGGAATAAAGAAAGGAAAAGAGGAAGGAAGGAATAAAGAAGGAAAAAAAGGAAGAAAAAAGAGAAACAAGAGAAAGCAAAAGAAAGGAAGGAAGAAAAAAGAGAAACAGGAAGAGAAAGTGAGAAAAGAAGAGAAGGAAAAGAGAAACAAGAAAAGAAAGAGAAAGAAGGAAGGAAGAGACAAAGAGAAGGGAAGGAAGGATGGAAAGAAGGAAGGAAAAGAATGAAAGACCCCTTGTCTTCAAGGGATTGGGAGGACACAGTACATATGCAAGTAAATACAAAATATGGTAATGTAAGAGAGAGACAGAGAGATAGACACAGACAGACAAAGAAATAGAGTCAGAGAGACAGAGCACCAACAGGTAGGGGCAGCAGGGACAGTCCCAGGTACAAGGTAGAACCTGAGTTGTACTTGCCAAGAAGGGTGAGAAGGGGAGTCCCTCCCAACATGGAGAAACACTTGTCCAAATCTCCCAGGCAGGAGACAGAGAGTCATATAACAGGAACTTCTAGCAGGCAGTTGGACTTTAAAGTACCATAGGGCAGCTGGATCCTGGAGGGCTTTCGTTGGTCAGGCTGAATTAATCTCAACTCTTTGTGCTGCTACAGACAACCAGAAGCAGAACTGTTCCTTCCACACTCTCTCCCATACACTCATTAAATGGGAGCTGGTGGAGTGGTGGATAAAGTGCTGGGCTTGGAGTCAGGAAGACCTGAACTCATATCTGGGGCAAGGCATGTAACCTCTGTCTGCCCCAGTTGCCTCATCTGTAAAATGGGGTTAATAATAATACCTTAAACCTCCCAGCATGTTGTGAGGCTCAAATGAGATCATGTTTGTAAAGTGCCTTGCAAAAACCTTAAAGCATATTATATAAATGCTAGCTATCACCATTATTTCTTAAATCCTCTCATACTGAATGCACGATCCCTCCCAGTTCTTTTCTTTATCCATCATCAGTCACTCTCTAACTATAGACAAACAGCTCAGTCTATACCCAGCCAGGTCTCTAACCATTCCACAGTCCAGCCACAGTCCTAGAGCTACTTTCTGACTCTCTGCCAACTTGCAGCCTCCTAGTAAGTCCTTTGCATAATTAAGGAGCTAGGTAGTGCAAAGAATGGAATGCTAGGGAGTCAGGAAGTACTGAATTCAAGTACAGAATCCAGACACTTTCAATAGCTGTGTGATCCTGGGCAAGTCACTTAACTTCTGTTTGCCTCAGTTTCCTCATTTTTAAAATATGGATAATAACAACACCTACTTCCTAGGGTTCTTGTGAGCATCAAATGAGATACTTGTAGAACACTCTGTAAACCTTAAATCATTAAACAAATGCTAGCTATTATTAGCTA